CAAAAGCAAGGTCCCAGAGATGGGTCACTCCTGCCCTGGGACTTGCTCCAATGCCCCCTGTAGCAGTCCTAGGTAAATTACATCTGCATGGGGAGGGCCGGGCTAGATTTGCTGCTTGTCCCCCTTTCCTGGTCTGAGTGTGGAGCTGGTCAAAAGACAGGGCCTGCGGGACACTAGATGAGAGGCAGTTGCCCATCACTACCCCTGGCTTTGTCTACACTGCAGGGTTTCTGTGCAAGAAGCCTTTGGCAGAAGAATTCTTCCGCAAAAACTTCATGCGCAAAAGCGCGTCCAGACCTCAAAGCGCATCGGAAAAGCCACGTGCTTTTGTGCAAGAGAGCATCCGCACTGCAGGGACGCTCTCTCGCAAGGACGCTCTGATGGCCATGCACAGAACGGCCATCAGAGCCCCTGTGCTGTTGCCAATAGGGGTTTCTTGCGCAAAAAGCCCTCCGGAGCATCCACACCTGCCTTTTTGTACAAGAGCTGTAGCACAAAAAGGAGTTACTCCTCGTGGGGAGAGGAATAACTCTACCGGCAAAAGTCCTCTGTTCTGCCGATTTACTTGCGCAAGAATGCGCTTGAGGTGCGGACGCTCTGCCGGTTTTTGCGCAAAAACCTTGTAGTGTAGACGTAGCCTCTGGGCCTTACTGGAGCCACTTGAGTTCTGTGTCATCTGCTCAAGCTAGGTCCTGCAGCCAACAGCTGCATCAAAGTGAGGCGCAGAAGTCTGGGCGTCCTCTCTGTTGCAGTCGAGGGGGGAGAGAGGGTCTTGGGCCAGGGGAAATGCAGCTCAACTAGATAAACAACCTTCGCAACACATTGTTGTTGATACGCCAGCCAATCACCTAAATCTATTTCCAAGGCCCCTGCACTCGATCAGTGTCTTTATCCTTTTTAAAGGAACTTGTCTGAGGAACGGCTGCTTAATTTAGTAACTGAAAATCAATAGCCCATTAAGAAGAAAGGGATTGCAATGGCCTGGCGCCAGGCCTCAGCTCAGCGAACGAAAGAGCAAACTAATTTACTATTAATTGTTATGCACTTGGAAAGAACAATAAGGCATCAGCCACTTTCCTCCTCCACTTGCTGTTTGCAAGGCCTCTTATTTACACAGTCCTGTTAGCCAGGAGGCTGGGTTCATAGGGTGGCACCCTCTTGCTGTTGGGTGGGCATCCTGCGGGTTCTCTTGGAAAGGCAAACAAAGGGTGCTGATTGCTAATCAGCCACAGAAAGCATTTGCTAGATCAAAGGGTGGGAGTAGCAGGGTCCTGTTCCTCACTGGGACGCACGGTGATCTTTGGTTTTCCTCTGTATCCTCCACACAAAGCATTTTCTAAGGGCTGCTGGCCTGCCTCGAAAGCGGCTACTGGGCTACAGAAGCCAGCCCATGGGTTTCCGACAGCCCAGGGAGGGTGCAGTTTCACAAGCCCGTTTTCAGAGGGGAGGGAGAAAAGAGGAAGGAAACAATTTAGGCAGGATGGAAACCAATCAGCATGTAGAGAATGCAGGCGGGGGAAGGGGGGACACTTTCGCATGTCCTGTTGTTTCTTTCTTGGAAATGTCTGTATTCCATGACCTTGACAGCGGCTCTGCCAGCGCTCAGCACTCTGGCCTAGTGTCAGCCAGCCCCGAAGGCACAGGAGAGTCCTGGAACAAACATCCCAGAGCAGCCTTACCAGAGGCACTCAGCACCGCCAATTAATCCTCAGTCAGCTCCCAAACTCTCCTGCGTCGCCGTGCCGGACACGCTGCCTGCCAGCGGAGTCGGAGAGGGGAGAGGCGATGCGTTAGGAATGGAACTGCCAAGTCGTGCCAGACGGCGACCCATCCGGCAGTCAGGACAGAGCCCCCCCGGGCCATTTCCTTGGGTTTGACCAGACCTCCTTGCACTAGGATTTGCCAACGTTCTATTTCAGAAACCTGGATCTCCTTGCCCCGCCCCTTCCCTCGATGCCCCGCCCCTGGTTAACCATTAAGGGTGATGCTTCCTGGGTAACCGGCCACCGTTCCCTTCCCCAATTGGGATGCAGCATGCAGAGACAAGGCCAGGCTGGAATAGATGCTCGCTCACCCCTGCACTGTCAGCATGCTGCCCAAACACCCAGGGCTTGTCCTCGCGCAGGAGCAGGCTGCACTCCCGTTTCCACTGCCACCGCCCTAAGTCAGCCTTCTCCGGGCTTTCCAAGGGCCCGCTTGGTTGTGTGGGGCTGCTTGGCCGGAGCCGATGCTTTCCCGTTTCTCTCACAGGGTTCCAGGAGATTTGCAAAGGGGCCTGGTGACGTGCCCATCACGGGGGCCAGCTGCCAGCCTCTCCGGGGTGAGCGTCAGCAGCTGGAACAGGACGGCCGCAGAAAGGCAGAGGAAACGGCCTGTTGCAAAGGTCTCTCCTGAGCGCGGAGCCATCTCCCCGTCCCCAGCGAAGGACGTTCTCCTCCGCTTTGCGTGGCAACATTCTAGCTACTCTGCACCCAGACTCCTCCCGCGCTGATGCCTCCGTTGCATCTGTACCCTCGGCAAGTGCCGTCTGCCCTCTCTCTGGAAGCAGGGCCAGCTCCAGTCGAAACCCATCTCGCTTTGACAGGCCACTGGCCTTGCTTCTACCCCGCCCGTCTCACCACCTGCAACCTCGACCCCTTTGTACGTCATGGCCTTGCGAGCACTGCCAGGGATCACTCCCCCACTGCCCCGGCATCTCCAAGCTGCCCAGTCATTGGCCTTCACCTCTCTTTTGCCAGGCCCGGCGCGCCAGCTCTCCCTCACGTCCAAGTGCCAGCAGGCGCGCTCCGAGCACAACCAGAGAACGCCAGCCAGGTTGCAAAGTGAGCACTCGCAAGCGGAGAGATGCCAGATTTCAGGTTTCCTGTGCAGCCGTGATTCTGCCCCCTGTGCATCTGAATGGTGATCTGTCTTTGATTACATTCTCACCTACTATCTTTCCACCTGCCTCGTTCAGTGCACAGACTAGGTGTTGCTCACTCAACGAGCAGCTATTCAATATCTCGCGCTACCCTCATTCCTCAAGGTGCTACCCAGCCTTAATCTTGTGCACTCGATTCAAACTCTGCTGTGGAGACAGAATTCTCAATTTCCTGCGGCACTCGTCATTCCCAGATCCAAGTGCTTCCAAATAGTCATTCATTTTGCTTCCTGGCGCTCCCGTAAAAGGAATGGTGATAACCCATAACAACAGAACTAGGGGTCACCAAATGAAATTCATAGAGAGCAGGTTTCAAACATACAGAAGGAAGGTTTTCTTCACTCAGCACACAGTCAACCTGTGGAACTCCTTGCCAGAGGATGTGGGGAAGACCAGGACTAACAGGGTTCAAAAAGAACTAGGTAAATTCATGGAGGTTAGGTCCATTGACACTTATTAGCCAGGATGGGCAGGGAGGGTGTCCCTGGCCTGTCAGAAGCAAGGAATGGGTAGCAAAGGATGAATCACTTGATGATTCCCTGTTTAGTTCACTCCCTCTGGGGCCCTGGCACTGGCTCTGTGGGCAGACAGGGCCCTGGGCTGGACCTTTGGTCGACCCAGTCTGGCTGGTTTTATGTTCTTAGCCTCTTGCAGAGCCGGGGCTGAAGCCCAGATATACAGGAAGCTTCGTTACAAACCGGAAACACAAAATGAGAAAGCTAGGGCTGGATTTCTGAGCTTCACAGGAAGCTTCGTTACAGACCGGGAACACACAATGAGAAAGCTAGGGCTGGATTTCTGAGCTCATGTAGCCTCATGCAGCACTTTGTCCGCTCAGAGCCCAGCTCGTACTGACTTCAGTTGTAGCTGGGAGCGCTCAACGCTTCTGCAAATCAGGCCCCAGGGTCTCCAGCCAGGCAGCCGGAAAACGAGGAACACGCAGTTAGCGACTCCCCGTGACAAGTCTGGTTTCGGTGACTCGCCCGAAGTCTGGGACAAAACCAGGGACAGAATCCACTTCTCCGAACCCTGCCCCCCGAGCCTGCAGCTTTGGGGGGCCTGGCGCTGCCCCATGGTGGCACTGGGCCGGCGCACTCGCTCTGCTGCAGTCTGCGGAGGTGGAGGGGTGGTGAGTCCCAAAGCCGCTTGTTCGAGGGATGGGGGGAGGGTCGGACTGGTAAAGTTTGGGACCCACTTCCTAAGTGACCGATCCCAATTCAGCACCGGGATCTGTGGGATCATGTCCCACTCAACACTCCCCGACCCTCAGCGGCACCCCTTGTGGCCCGGCCCTGACCAGGCGTCTGTAACCAGTTAGCAGCACAGACCCCGCAGGCGCCCCCAAGCGGCACAGGCTGGGGGTGTCGTCACAGCGGCACTGGCAGCCCAAGCCCAGCCCAGAATTCCTCCTACTTCTCCCCGAGTCGGAGCCCACATGTGGGGCACAGCGAGTGCCCCGCTGCAATGCCGGTGTGCGCACACGCATCCCCCCCGGATGGGGATACGTTCCCACTGCGACCATCTCCGCTACCTCATCTCATCATCACTTGCTGCCCTCCAGCCCCTGCGGCTGGGGAGACGGCCTGTCCAGTTCTCACTGCCTCCGGGTTCTCCCACAGAGCAGTTGTAGTTAGTGCACGAGCGACTCCCGTTTGCCCTTCCCCGAACAAGCGCACCTTCTCCTGTACACTGCCGCAGACACGCGGCTCCGGGCCAGGAGCTGTCAATGGCCCCGAGAGAGCGAGGCGTCCACAGTGGCCAGGCCATGCTCAATGACCGTCCACCTCCCAACGCTGCCCTGGGAACCATCTCAATCAGTGGGAGGGTGCTATGCAACCGCCTCCGCTGGCCGGTGTCACCCCATGTATTTACCAGCCGCCTGTGCAGCCTAGACTGAAATGAATCAAGCGACGGGTCTGCCATTGCTCGGCAAACTGTTCCACAGTGTCTCTCATCTCACCGCCGGGGCTTTCCCCACATGGCCTCTGGCCAAACTTCACCCACTACCCCGCATCGCCACCCGACAGAACCCCTCTGCCCCATCACGGACCCTGCTCTCCGCGGCACTGGCCCCACCTACCTCCACCTGCTGGCAGATCTGTATCAGCTTGGCCATCTGGTTTTCTAGTTCGCTGTTGCGTTTCACCAGGTTGGTGAGGTTCGTCTCCAGGGTTTGCTGCCGGCACAGAAACGGGAAGGAAGAAAGGAAAAAAGAGAGAGACAGCATCAGCATAGCTCGACACCAGCCCCACCGAATAAGGACACATCAGAACATTTGCCATCAGACTGGAGAAAACACAACCCGCACGCACACATTAATTACTTCGGGCAACGATGCTTCCTGTGGAAGAAGCAGGCAGAAAAACCTGCTTGTAAGCCAAAACTAATGTTGTTTCGCTATCCCTGGCTGACAACTACAGTAACTTTACAGTGGCTAGCAGGCAGTACCGGGTGGGCACTGCAGCCTGCATCTGTAGTTCACCAGCAAAGAGAAGGGATGTGTCGTCTCCGCTACTTTATTGATTTACTATCAGACCTGGAGGTTTGGTTTTTAACTCTTTTCTTTTTGTCTTTTCCTGTATGAAATGGAGTTTGACTCCCGTCTTCCCTGGAAAACTCTGCGCAACAGGCGCACTAGTAGGATTATGCCAACTCTTGCCATGTCCCCCTGATGTTGGGGCATTTCTAAAAGCCTCGGCTCTGGGAGTCATGGGATTCTGTGTGGATACAGACACTTCTAACCGCTGCGGGCTGCAGAGCAAAGCTGAGACATGTGATGCCGACAGGCTCAAATACCAGAAGGCCGGTTAAAAAACACCATTTCAAAGAAAGTCATGATTTTTGAGGATCTGGCAATTAGGATCGGCAGCTCTGTTATGACATGACAAGATGCCGAGCATGGGGAAATGGATTTTAAAAACACTGCACTCATGCACACAGCGGCAGCATGCGACTCTGATGTCTAGAGTACACACCTAGATGAGAAGTTCTTGCTAATGATACAATTCCCCGTTTTCCCTCCCCTCCACATGCAGGCAGAGGAATCTCACATGCTATCAAACAATCCGTCAGCAAAATCCAGACAGACCAGACTTAGCATTCCTCATATTTCTAAACTGAAACCCATAAAAACACACTCCTGGTCTTTCTTCCTGTAACAGAGCTAAGCTCACTAGGCTTGGCAGAATTTGATTTCCATTTTTTATAATTTTGATAGATGTTTATTTTTAAACATTTTTTCTATTTTTATTGATTTACAGTCTCACAGTTGTGGGAGGTTATGACAGTGGCAGAGAAGGGAGGTCAGATAATTATTGCTTAGTAACTTTAGGCTGCTGAGATTAAAAACCTAAAGCTTCATAACCATTAAAACACAAAGTGTCAACATCAGGTGACAAACCATTCAAAAAGAAATATGCTTAAATCAAACACTAATAAGTTCCCAAGCACCATTTTTCTTACTTACAGGATAGAATAGAGGTCTATAAAATCATGACTGGTGTGGAAAAAGCGAATAAGGAAAAGTTATTTACTTATTCCCACAATATAAGAACTAGGGGTCACCAAGTGAAATTAATAGGCAGCAGGTTTAAAAGAAACAAAAGGAAGTTTTTCTTCACTCAGCACACTGTCAACCTGTGGAACTCCTTGCCAGAGGATGTGGTGAAGGCCAGGACTTTAACAGGGTTCAAAAAAGAGCCAGATAGATTCATGGAGGTTAGGTCCATCAATGGCTATTAGCCAGGATGCGTAGGAATGGTGTCCCTAGCCTCTGTTAGCCTGCAAATGGAGGAATCACGTGAGGATTCCCTGTTCTGTTCCCTCCCTCTGGGGCACCTGGCATTGGCCACAGAGGGCAGACAGGGCGCTGGGCTGGACGGACTTTGGTCTGACCCAGTCTGGTCACTCTCATGTTCTTACTTTGCCTATCTGTAAACTTTGCTTATTATCTACTAAAATATTCTCCCCTGCACTGTCAGGTGTGTGTACAGTGAAACTGAGACTTATCAGTGTTTACGGTTAAGAATCCAATCCTTCCAAGCCTGCATCAAGGCTACTCCGGTAAAGACAGAGCATGGAATGCTGGGATTTGTAGTCTTCACCTCAGTGGCTTTCAGGAGATGAGGGAGACGGCCCATGTGCTGACTGAGCAAAGAGCAAGGGCTGCTGCTAAGCTACCGCTGCATCCTTAGCCGGGCAGCCAGCTCTGAGCAGCACAAGATAGGACGGTGCATCCAGCGCTCAGGCGGGGAGCCCGTCTGATGTGAATACATGGCTTTCCAGCCTCTCTCCTCCTCTGTCAGTTACAGAGATAAAAGGCTCCTGGGAGAAAAGTTGTGGTCTCAGCAACATCACTACAAGCTGCCTTCATTTCCGTTCCTGGTCCCCCCTGGACTCGTGTTTTGTTCTCGGCAAATACAACGTAATAAGGGAAAGCCAGATTCCAAATCAAAGCAGACAGAGATTCCCCAGAGACTGTTTATTTTGATGGCTGTGCCGACATTTTGACTGATCGCTTTGGATTCCCTGGACATCCCACTGTAAGCTCCTTCAGGCCCTTTAATCCTCTCGCATTTCTAAAGAGCTGGAGTTCAACATTTTCAGAGTGCGCACATACGGGGAGGGGACTGATTCCTGGCCAGCACCTTGACGCCCTTTTATGGAAGCTGCTGCGTCAAGGGATGGAACTCAGCGGGGCGACAGGAAACCCCGATGTTGGCTCTCATTTGACTAACTGACAGGGTGGGTCTGAAAGCCGAGGGGAACCCGTCCAAAGCGGGGCCGGCGAACAGGAGGAAGAGCTGACGACGCCCTTGCTTCCAAACTTGGAGAGAGAAAATGCAGGTTGGCAGATGGGTAAGGACAACACACTTTGATCTTAACGCTCTGTGAAGTGTTACGCGGCGGCGCGGCTCCCCCACCCAATGGAGATGCAGCACTGCAGAAGCCTTAGAGCTCCTAGCCAAGCAGTGCACCTAGGCCAATTGGACTTTCCTCTCCTGTCTAGCCAGTCAGAAATAACATCAGAACAGCTACACTGGGTCAGACCAAAGGCCCGTTCAGCCCAGTGTCCTGTGTTCTGACAGTGGCCAGTGCCAGGTGTCCCAGAGGGAGGGAACAGAACAGGGAATCCTCACGTGATCCCTCCCCTGTTGCCCATTCCCAGCCCCTGACACACAGAGGCCAGGGACACCATCCCTGCCCTTCCTAGCTAACAGCCATTGATGGACCTACCCTCCATGGATTTATCTAGCTCTTTTTTGAAGCCTGTTAAAGTCCTGGCCTTCATGACAGCCTCTGGCAAGGAGTTCCACAGGTTGACTGTGCACTGCGTGAAGAAAAACTTCCTTTGGTTTGTTTTAAACCTGTTCATTTCATTGGGTGATCCCTAGTTCTTGTGTTATGGGAACAAGTCAATAACTTTTCCTTATTCATTGTCTCCACACCTGTAATGATTGTATAGCCCTAGCCCCACTGAGTCTCCTCTTTCCTAAGATGAGAAGTCCCAGTCTTTTTAATCTCTCTTCACACGGTAACCCTTCCAAGCCCCTCATCATTTTTGTTGCCATTTTCTGAAGGTTTTCCAATGCCGAGATCTCTTTTTCGAGATGAGGTGACCACATCCATATGCCACATTCAATATAAATACAAACCCCACCCCCACTGTGCCATTGCAAACCCCCAAAGCACGGAAATGAAAAGACTGCAACAATTCAGCACACGCACCACCCACAGCTGTCACTGTTAGTTTGTTCTGCCGTTGCCTCTGGCCGGCCATGGTGCAAGGCACTGTACAAACAAAGAACAAAAAGGAAGTGGTGTAAATCTGCAGCAAATCCACCGGCTCTGAATTGACCCTAATGAAGGGCAAAAGTCAGCCCCCGAGCTCTCCCCAGGGACCTCGTGACTCACTAGATGAAGGCGTAGTCAAATCTCTGAAGGAGCATTATCAATCTTAGAGCAAAAGAAAAAAGTCACTTGTGGCTAACCACAAGTAAAAGGCTTTGTGTGGAACATGAACCAAGGCAGTCTGCAATCAGGCTTGCCTTGCTACCTATTATGTTAAATGCTGGTTTGCTGCCACCCCAGCCCTGGCGTGCCAGTTGATGCAACATTTATGGCGAAGAACGCAATCGACCAGGCAAGGGAGAGAGCCCATTTGAAACCATTTCAATATCTGTGGACACACAGTGGACTTGTGCTTTCGGATATCAATAATTTAAGTGACAGCACATTTCCATTAAAATACGCGATTCCACTAAGAGAAAATGTTTATAACAAAGTGCTCACAACCTGTTGCCATACTGGGCTCGAAAACGATACCCTATTAATATTTGAAACGTCAGCGCCGAGAAAGAGTCCCTGTGGTGTTTTATTCATAGTGGGTGTGGAACGGCGCCCATTAGCTTCCAGCAAGACCCCACTAGTCCCATAAACAAGGGCTCCCTCTGCATACACATGTAATTCCGGGGCTGATTAGCCGAGGGAACGTGAATCACAGTCATAAAATACTGGCAAATCATTCATTCCTGAAACCCACGGGCTCCTAAAATATTCAGCGCTCATTTGGATTCCTGCGAGTTGCTAGCCAACGGCTGATAAAGCGAAACACAGAAATAGGGTTGAAAAACGACCCAGGACTCATGCTGCTTTCATGAAGCTGAAGAGGCTGCATAAAACAAGCCTGCCTTGTAACGAAAAGCCGGCTGCTCACCGTGTTTGCCTCTGTTTTCTCACAGCTTAATATTATTAAACATAATTTGAGCAAAGCCCTGAGCATTTAACAATTAGCAATTATCATTCTCTTGGCTGCACTGGAGTTTCTGAGCTGAAATGGGAGTCGATCGGCTTTGCTAGTTGAAGGCTGCCGAGGAGGGGCAGTTCAGATGGGCCAAGTGAGTTTCCAGTGACATCCTTCATTACAGGAAATTCTCACCAGAAGCTACAGCTCTTTCCTTCTCAGCCAGGTAGCCAGGTTAACCCGTGCAGCCCCAAGGCAGGGTTGGTACACCCCATCACAGGATTAAACCCCAACCCCATCCAACACGTCACAGGACTCCAGTGCGGGCACAGGCCTAGATCAACACAAGGACTGTGCAGCCAACTTTTTTTTTTTTTTTTTTTTAACACAACACTTCAGAAGCAGCAGGCACTTAACCATCTTGGGCCTCACTA